GCCGAATGAACCCAGCATCCAGCAGCTTTTTTACTTCGGCAGCTGCCGCTTGACTTCTTTCCTCCTCGTGATTTCTTTTCTTTTTCCGGATGGGATTCTTTTTGGATCCACGACGAGTTTGTGGACAGCGAGAACCGGGATGACGCCTGGCGTCTCTTCCACTTCAAAGGTAAAAATGTCTTTGAATTCCTTTAGCAATAAGTGCAGGTCTGCACCCAGCTTAGCATAAGAAGCCGTCCTAACCTTAACAGTATGATCTGGACGGCTGTCATCCAAAGGTATATCAATATGTTTTCCAGCCGGTTGGGGACGGAGCTCATCTGACCGTTCCCCGGTCAGTGAATGCTATTTTTTCTCTTTCTTCACCTCCACCAGCTGATGAGCCTTTCTTTTCTTTCCGGATGCTGGTGGGGTTGGGCTGGCATCCTTGACATTGTCAAGGTCTATTGGTACCGACTCTTGGCCGTCTAGGGCCACAGTATCTTTGACGGCTGAGAGGTAGCATTCTCGGGCCGTCTGTTGATCCCCATTCAAGGAACCAACAGAGCCATCATCCCTCTCATACTTAATGAGCATGAGAGAAGGGATGATTACAGCCTTGGTTTCGTTGAGGGTTGGACGGCCTTGGATGATGTTATAGGCGGTCAATTCCTCAACGGCCAAAAATTTGACGACCAGGTGTCGTCCTTTTTCTTTTTCACCTAGTCATATAGGTAAGTCAATCCTACCAACTGGGTAAACCGTCCCACCCCCAAAACCAAACAAGGGGTGGGTAACCAGATGCATGCTGCTGAGTTTGTATTTTAGCTTTTGTAGGCACCGGAGACTGATGATGTCCGACGAGCTGTCGGTGTCAATAAGGATTCGCCCAATCAGTTGGTTGGCGACCTTACATTCAATGACGACCGGATCGTCATGCGGACGGCGGATAGTGCCGATGTCCTTCTTACTAATCAGAACGTATGGAAAGGAGGAGCTAGCTAATGCCTTCTCACCATCATCATCTTTGTCCATCTTTCGAAGCTGGCTCTTGGTGCCCCGGATGGTAGGGCCACCGCATACGAACCCGCCTGCTATGGTGTAGACCGGCTCCTTATCGCTGTCCGAACTACTAGCAGGTTGGGGTGTCTTAGATGATTGTTGCGGGTTATTCTTATTAGTCCCTTTGGACTTAGAAATGTAGGACTTTAACATCCCCTTGTCAGCCAGACGGTCCGACGCTCGTTGAAGGCTGAAACAATCGTTGGTGTCATGGCCAACTTCCTCATGGTATTGGCAGAATTTATTTTTGTTCCTTGATTAAATGGAACTTTTCATTGGATTCTGCTTCTCTAGAGAAAGCCGGTCCTTGATCTCCATGAGGATAGAGTTGCAGTCCTTATTAAACTCGTACTTGGGGACGTACAGTTTAAATTCTTTCTTTTTCTTCTGGGAAGGCTGCTCAGAATCACTCACCGCCCAGACTTCGTTTCTCTTCTTACTCTCATCTTTTTTTTTCGTCGGATGAGTAGGCCGGCTGTCTTTTTGTCTGTCGGGCTTCTTGGAGTCCGACTGGCTTCCAGGCGAGCAGAGGTCGGTTACTTGAATATAGCTTTCCGCCTCCCTTAGGGCCGCCTGAAACATAAATGCCCCTTTTTGTCAAGGTCGAACTTAAAGGTCGACCCGTCTCTCAGACCCTTAAAGAAGTCTGTAAAGGCAACTTCGTCAGACAGTCCCTGAATTTGAATTCTGATTAGATTGAACCACCTGACGTAAGAGCATAATCTTTCTCTTTCTCCCTACTTAATGGTGCTCAAGTCAAGACTTGTTTTGTTCGCAAGGATGTTCATTGAGAAGTTGGAAGCAAACAAGAAGGCAAGCTTCTTGAAACTATCGATGGAACCGGCTGGCAGGTTGCCAAACCATTGTTGGGCAATGCCCTTCAATGTAGCCGGAAAACAAAGACACCAAGTGGCATCGTCCAACCCCTGTAAATACATGAGGTTGGTGTAATCCATGAGGTGATCTTTCGGGTTGGAGGTACCATCATAAGTACCTACCAACACATTTTTAACCTTGTCCGGCTGTTCCCCCTCAGTTATTTCTCGGGTGAACGCAGAAGGTTGTTCACCCAAGCGAGGCACACGAAGCTACCAATCTAGTGGCTGGACACTACTGTATGCCGCCTAACCTCCGAAGACGGTCGGCTGCATGAAATGGGGACAATACGGGTCGTAGACAATAGGCGGTACGTACGGTGCAGTCCCAATCATCCGAGGGCCTAAATGGACGGTATTACCGCCTGTATGGCTCTCATGCAAGGATTGCACATTCCCTGTAGATGTATTCTTAAAGCTGTTTGGAAAGCTTGAAGTAGAAGATGACTCAGACAATTGTTGACTCCTCTTGTGGGTGATGATCTCCCGGGCATCAAGAGTTGGTTTTTTGTTTCCCACCGGCTGTTCACTCCGGCGGGTATTGTTGGTATTCCTCTTAGGCAGAAGAATATTGGACCAGTCAATGGTCCCGGCTGCCTTCTCCTTTGGATGCGGAGTTGGCTGCCTATCTTTTACTAACTAACACTTTTCTAGAGGCGTCTTCCTTGCCGACTGACCCCTTCTTGGGGCAGCCCGGCTCTTGGTGATCAGATCCTTAATTTCACCCTTGAAACTAGTCATGAATTTCATGAGTTTATCTCGAGTGACTAGAGCAGATCCACCGGCCATATGGGTTTCCCTTTCCGGCTGTCCAGGGGGTCGATTTGTACCCGCCTGGCTTGCACCCCGCTCCAGAGTGTCCCTAGGCCGGATGTGCTTGGTTATTAGAGAGCCATCATTGGCTATATAGGTTTCGACCTGAGGATCATCGTCCTCTTGGTCAGTAAAGACTTTCGGCTGGTCCACCGGACGCTCAGGAGGTGGTACAAACTCTTAAACCATCCTTGAGGTACTCTCCCCACAGACGGCGCCAAATGTTTCGGGTGTTTTTGTCCCTCGGGAGAGTTACATCACAAAGATTGGTCTAACTCGAGCTGCACCTGCAAAACAACGGAGACTCCGGTTGTTGGAACTCTACCTCCAAAGATCAAGTTGGTAACTTGAAAGAGAATAAAGAGTACGAAAATTTAGGTGGGTATCTGCTTAGATTCTAAGCTCAGGTGTTTCTCTGATGAGAGAGAAAGTAGGTGTAATAAATGATTGAATGTGTCCCCAAAATGGGGAAATATCTACCTATTTATAGAGTTGTTAGTAGGTGTGCCCCTATCTTGGTCACTTGACCTAGATTTTAGTGGGTTGCGCCAAATTACGGCGCTTCTTGGGATTTGGGCCCTTGAAGGCAGCCATTTCAGAAGTTATCTGAAGGAGACACGTGCCAAGTGGCTATTGGGCCACTTTGGCCAACCTGAATTTGACACGTGGCCTTCTCTTGTTGGTCCACATGTCTAGGGTATTTTTACCCTAAACACTAAGTATTTCTTGACAATAGTAGTTGATTATTCTAGGGGCGTTTGGATTTATTTGATTAGCAATAAAACTGAAGTTGAATTTCGTTTTCTCAATTTTATTGCCTTGATAAAACGTCAATTTAATAGAGATATAAAAGTGGTTCGTAGTGATAATGGAACTGAATTTAATGATCTTAAGGAATATTTTGTCAATAATGGGATTATTTTTAAGTCTTCTTATGTGGGTACCCCTTAACAAAATGGGAGAGTGGAGAGAAAACATCAACATATTTTGAATGTGGCAAAGGCATTGAGATTTCAAGGTGGATTGTCGATTAAATTTTGGGGAGAGTGTGCTTTGACGGCTTGTTATTTGATTAGTCGTACTCCAAGTCCTCTACATGGAAATAAAAATCCATATGAAATGTTGTTTGGCAAAATTCCTTCTTATGAGTTCATTCACGTGTTTGGATGTTTGGGTTATGCACATAATCAAATGAGTAAGGGAGATAAATTTGAGTATCGGAGTAGAAAATGTGTATTTTTGGGTTACCCGTTTGGTAAGAAGGGGTGGCAGTTGTTTGATCTAGAGTCAAGGGAGTACTTTGTTTCTAGAGACATAAAATTTCATGACCATGTATTTCCGTATGTTGACCAATCGGGTAAATCTCCGAGGTTGGGTATAAGAGAGGAGTAGATTGGAGTACATGATGGGGATAATTGTGATAATTTTGAGCATTAGCATATGGGTGACATTCGAGGTGTGGAAGCCGAGGGAGATGGCCGAGAGCATCCCCAGCATCCCAGTGTAGAAGGTGATGGCCGTGAGTAGCACCAGGCCAGCCTAGCTACTGCTGTCTCTAAGCACAGCCCGCACCAGCACTAGGCCAGCCAAGCATCGGAAGACCACAAACACAGCCCGCAAGGGAGTGTTGTGCGTGAGAAAACTAGGCAGCAGCACCTCGAAACAGAGGAGGCAGAGCGCTTCCCAGTGAGGCTACGGAGTAGGGTGGAGAATCGCAGTGAGGCTGTGGAGTACTCTGATGCGCAGCTAGGGACAACCTCTAGTGAAGAAAATTTGGCTACACAAGATAACAATGAGGAATTGTTTGGTCGTGGGAAGCGAGTGAAGTTTCCTTCAACAAGGCTTCGCGATTATTTCATGCATACTATTTGGAAAAATAATGTCCCATCGTTGTCATTCGTGGAATCATCTTCCTCAGGTACTCCTTATCCTATAACCTATTTTGTTAATTATGATAGGTTTTCCGAGAAACATAGAAATTATATTGATGTAGTGACAGAGGCACAAATTCCGAGATCCTTTAAAGAGACTATGCGACATGAAGGGTGGATAAATGCAATGGAATCCGAGATTAATGCCTTAGACGATCAAGGTACGTGGACCTTGGACACTCTTTCGGAAGGGAAGAGAGCACTTGGAAGCAAGTGGGTTTACACTGAGAAGAGAGATGAGGAAGGCAAACTAATTAGATTGAAAGCTATATTGGTTATTCTTGGAAATCATCAAGAGGAAGGCATAGACTACAATGAGACGTTTGCTCCGGTGGCATAGATGTCTAATGTTCGTACGTTTCTAGCTGGAGCATTGGTGAAGGAATGGGAAGTGCATCAAATGGATGTACACAATGCCTTTCTACATGAAGAATTGGAAGAGGAGATTTACATGAAAGTTCCACCTGGGTTTCTGAGAAACAATTTAGATAAGGTGTGCAAAATGAAGAAATAGTTGTACAAGCTAAAACAGACACCTAGGTGTTGGTTCAAGAAATTGTCCACGGCTCTTAACAAACATGGTTTCAAGCAATCATATAATGATAATTTGTTGTTTACTTTGTCAAAAGGTAAATTGCAATTGAGTGTGTTAGTTTATGTGGATGACATGATTATTGCGTGTAATAGTAAATTTGTGTTGGAAAGTTTTAAAGCATATATGTGTGATTGTTTTAAAATGAAAGATCTAGGTGTCGTGAAATTTTTTTTGGGATTAATTAGAAGTAGCTTGTAGAAAACATGGATTTTATGTTTTTTAGAGGAAGTATGCCTTGGATATTATTTCAGAGACGGGATTGTTAGGTGCTAAAGCTGCAGACTTTCCGATGGAGCGGAATCACAAGCTAGCAGTTTCAGGGGGGAAAAAATTCGCAGATGTTGAGAAATATAGGCGTCTGGTAGGACGCCTGATATATCTGGTTGTGACTAGACTAGACTTGGAAAATTCAGTGCATATTCTATCTCAGTTTATGCGTTCTTCAAAGAAAGAGCATTGTGAAGCAGCTTTGAGAGTAGTTCGTTATCTAAAGAAGTGCCCGAGCCAAGGTATTCTTATTAGATTTGATAGAGCTTTGCAATTAGAAGGTTGGTGTGACTCAGATTGGGCAGGTTTTCCATTAACTCGACATTCTTTGACTGGTTGGTTTGTGTTACTTGGTTTATCTCCTCTGTCATGGAAGACAAAGAAACAACCTACGGGTGGCTACTTGTTTGTCGAAAGCAGAATATAGATCAATGGCAGGTTTGACATGTGAATTGAAGTGGTTGAAGAGAATGCTTCGAGATTTGGGAGTTGAACACAAGCAAAGGATGAAAGTTTTCTGTGATAGTCAGTTAACTCTACATATTGCTAATAATCCAGTTTTTCATGAGCAAACCAAGCATATTGAAGTTGGTTGTTATTTTATTAGAGATGCGATTATAAAGGGTGTCATATGTCCGTCATATGTGTCTACAAAGCTATAGTTAGCTGATATTTTCACGAAAGGCGTTGGGAAAGGCATAATTTGAGTTTATTCTTAGCAAGATAGGAATTCGATATCTTCATGCTCTATCTTGAGGGAGGATGTTGATATAATATTATGTAAAGATAATATTTAGGAAATATTGTTAGGATTCCTTAGTTATCTTTATATAAATATTTGATTTGGTAATTATTCCTAAGCCTAAGATAATTAGGAATAGGTTGTAGACTATGTATGTACACGTTGAGAATTAATGAGATTTTGAGGTATTGAATTGATTTTTTCACTTCCTATTCCTAATTAATTAAAATAATATAAATTATAGAGTAACTAAATTATAGATATGATAAATTAAACTAAAGGAGATGAAAGTAGGGAGAAATCAATTAATAAAAGCCTAGGGTATAGGTTCACCAATAAACAATATTCCAGGATAAAACATAATAATCAATCATCAATGCATCAATTAATTAGATTATAAAGGGATTTCGCTATGTATTACAATCACAGAGTTAATATACCAGTATTAAATCTCATCTCTCGAATCTCGACTTAACCATTTATAAGTTAGTTTGCCTATTGAAACTAAGCCTAAATAACAATTCTCATCTCTCGAATCTCGAATCAATTGCACAACTCATACAATTAAAGCAGGCCTAATCTAATTGCATAGGATTAAATCAATCAATTGGAAATTAGTCAAGCATTGACAATCAACAATAATTTATTACCCCTTCATATTATTTATGGATCCCCACAAACCCTATAAAGAAAACTACTCACACATAATTAAATCTAAACTAATCAAAGAAATTAAACAAGACATGATGAATTAAAAAATTAAATTACTGAAAATAATAGAGAAGAAATCGTTACCAAAGACGAAAATAATGAGTTGAATTAAGGAACAAAGTTGTAGAGAGAGAAACTAAGAGAGAAGTTTAAGCTTAAGAGAAGATTAAACTATTAAAAGAGAGATAATTGTATCAATAGCTATTAAAATGTATTTATACAAACTCATAAAAATCCTAATTAGGAATAAGTGAAAAACGTCAAAAACACTCCTCCAAGACCCGCCTTTTTGTCTCCGAAGTTTCTCTCGCTCCCAGTCGAGCTCGAGATCCGGCAAAGAACAACATTCATCTTCTTCCGCCCCGCTTGACCGGGCGCGCCTTCGGGCGAGCTCCCATACGGACGGGCGAAGCCTTGGGCTCTTCCTTGGACTTCCGTTTGGGCTATTAACTTGGCCCAAACACTAATTCCTCCTTGGGGCTTGAATCACTCGGTCTAATGCCTCAGCTTCTTCTATATTAAGCTCTTAATCACCGATATGATGAATCCTACCGGACTTGGGCTACGAAAGATGTCCATGGTTTTTCAATGCTCGTAATTACTCTAATAAATCTGGGAAAATGCTACAAGTGTGCAATTTCCTACAAAACTCAACAAAAACTACTGAGACACTAGAAAACACAAATTAGTAATAAAAGTGGCTCTAAAGAGCCAAAAACACTACTAATTATGACCAAGGGACAGGGGTAAATCACTATATAAAATAGACATATCAAATTCCCCCAAGACAAACCTTTTCTTGTCCCTAAGAGCTCCTCAATGAATAAATAAAACATGCCTCACCCCAAATAATAAAAATCATGAACAACCAATTCAAGGCAAATCTAACAAACATGCTTCAACATCAACCAATCTCATCCATCCAACCACTCATCCTCCTTAACAATTGTCAAGTAGAGCGAAGCACAAGAGCATAAAGAATTCAAGACTAGTGCTCACACACGCAACTCTCATTTATGTGGCGAGTAAAAAATGTAATCGAGCGCTCTCCATCCTAACCCTTTTATATGTGCACAATTCCCTCCCAACTCACACTCTCGTGTGTTTAAAAAGACAAGCACTCAACCTAATAGTTGACTCGAAATATGTCAAATCATTCTTTGCATTGATAAACAACTAATTTCACATTCACACAACTCTATGCACAAAGGTCGGAAGGTCTTTAAAGCTTGTAATGCAAGGCTAGGGTAAAAGGTAGGATGATTTTGGAAAAATGTGAGAGTAAAGCCATGCTTAAGGGAACCAAATCCTATTAAAACCCAAGGTCAAAAATAAATAATGACCAAACAACTCCAACATACTCAACTCCACCAAAAATTCACCAAATACAACTCCAATCATAACAATAATTCCCAACACTTACAATTTCGCTCATGAAAATATAACATTGTAGAACTTGAGTGAATAAACAAACTTTAACTTTCAAACTTGATTTTTTTTCATTGAAACTCATCATTTTTTTTCTGTAATCAACCTTCTCTTAGAACATTTGAACATTCAACAATTCTTTTTTTTTTTCTTTTAAATTTCACTTATTTTTTTCATTTTTTTTTCTTGAACTTCTTTTTAGTTTCACTATCATGCTTTATTTTTTCCAAGAAATTCAACTTTCAAAACCATAAAAAACAAAACACAATCAAGAACAAAACAACTTCACAACACCCACCCACATTGTGCAAACATTAAGCACACCACAAACTCCCTCACCTCACTCACTAATAGATCCCCCAAACTAACCTTGGGACTAGTAACCAATGGGGCAAAATCGACTTGTAATGTGGCTAAATAAAAAATAAAAGGGGACAAGAAACAACAAGGGTAGTAGGAAGGGAACAAATGTCTCTAATATCATCTGAAGGCTACCTAAAAGAACAAATGCCTTCGTCCTCCTCAATATGCATAATATCGAGCCATAAAAACATTCCTCAAAGTTGCAAACCAATACTCAAATTCATTGACATACCAGGAACTAACACACAATTCTTAACCAAGTCAACTAGTCAAGCACTATATTCAAAAAGTAGTTGGGCAAAATTGACGCATGTTAGGGCATCCAAGCAATCAAATATCAAATCATGGCTAACCTATCCACAATGTTCATCATCATATACCAAGAATCAAAATAATTTTTAAGTATGGGGCATAGGGGAAGCATGAATTACAATTCATTGGAACGTATTTTTGTTTTTTTTATTTTTCAATTTTCATTTTTTTAAAGCAATAAAACTATGCCAGAAAGCAATAAATCTATACTAAAACACACCAAAAATAAGAGAAAGAGAAGAAGAAAGATACCAACATCCAAAAATTTCCCCCAAGCCAAGATCATACAATGAACTCATTGGCTCGGGAACTAACCCAACATGGCTAATCCTCATCATCATCATCCATGAAGAGAAATCCTCCACCGCTACCACCTGTACCACTAGATGAACTACCACCAAAATAGTTAGGGTTATAAGTCCCCCCGGAGGCCCCCCAAAAGGACTGTCTTGGCCATATCCATGGAAGGTCTAATAGTCTGTGTAAATGCCATGGGAGGTAGGATCGACATATCCCTAAGGTGGTGCCTGAAACCAGTCGGGGTAGAGAGCATCGTCGAGAATAACACCACGAAGAGCATATTCATCAAACATGGGGTATAAAGTTCTACCCTGGTTTCTCTCAATGTAGCCCAACCATTGGTCTATAGAACAACCATCTGTCTAATCTCCCCATAAGATCCCTCAATACGGCCTAATGTCTGTCGTATACTCTTTAAATCCCAAACAGTCTCAGAATCTTGCCTAGGGGGAGGTATAGGCATATGGGGTGGTGATGGTACCACCATGGGCTTAGGCTAAGGTGGGGGTGGTGGTGGTGGCACTAGCCCCTGGGCATGAGTAACTAAAGCATCATGGGTGTAAGACTCCTGCTTGGAAGAAAAGGGATCAAATCAGGGTTATTGAGGGGAAAGATACGCATAGGAGGCTCCGATCCTGCCCTAACACACTAGTGGGGAATTTGTTAGCAATCCAAATCTATCTGATCTAAACTATGAAGATGCCTACTGGTAAAATAGGTGCCCCCCCCCCCCCAAAGTTTGTGAAACCATGAGTCATAGCTTCACTGAACTCGGCTTTCTTAACCGCTATTCTAGTAATGAGGCATTCTAAACGGATAGGGATCCTAGTGGTAGTACTAGTGGTGGCATGTCTACTCAAGTGGTGGATAATGTATCTACCTATGTTCAATTTCCCATACCCAACACATATAGTGTCCTATAATTTCTAGTTCGTTGGTTTGGGCATTATGGGGCTCATACCAACCTAAAAAACATGCGCCCGAAAATCTTTGCCAGATTTTAGGGACGAGGTGGTGAATAGGTTGGGCACTAGCATGTTAAGAGTTGGGGGCCGGAAAACCAATTAGAACATGATAGATATCTTCCATTTTATATTGTTCATGCCAATGGTGGGGGTGTTCAGATTCCAAACCAAACAATTTACAAAATTCGATATAAGTTAAACTCATAATTTTATTGTTCAACCTAAAATACAAATTAGGACCATTCTTACTATTAACAACATTCAAAGAGGACAAAAATTCACATGTTAATTCACGAAAGGTAGGATAATGCATGTCAACGAATGTTCTCATTCCTATGTCATTCGTGAATCTTCTAACATGATCATATAATCCAAAAGCCTTAAGAGAAGGACGGTGTAACCACCGAGAAGGTATTACCTCACGCTCATAGAGCTTCATGAGCCGTTCCCGTTGGGTTTTCGTTGTTATTCGGATGCTCGGCCATTAAGGAAGTTGCAATTCTGGGTCATAGCCTTGGTTTGAGCTTGAACCATGCCCCCTTGTGTTCTTAGCCTCTTTGATGCCATTTTTTAATATGGATTTGTAAAAATTTTGTTTGAAATTGGGTAAAATTGGTGTAAAAATGTAGAGGATGAAGAGAGGAGAAAGAATATGTAAAAAATTTTGGATTTGGGTGAGAATTGGAGAGGAAATCTTAGAGAGAAGGTAGAGGTTTTAAGGTTATAGAGAGAGAAAGAATAAAGGAAAGAGAAAGGAGGAAAGAAGGAAGAAGAAAGAAGAAAGAAAAAGGAAAATGAAAGAAAGGGGGTCGTATGGTGTGACGCGCCCGGTCGGGCGATCTGCATATCTGATTTTTGGGCCTTCTCGCGCCCGACACTTGTCGGGCGCCAGATCGCCCAGTCGAGCGATTCACCCTTTAAATTTTCCTTCAATTCTCGAGCCCGGTCAGGCGCCATCTCACCCGATCGGGCGGAATAATTATCCGTGCTCGTCAATTCTCGCGCCCGGTCAGACAATTTTCTTCCCATTTAGAACTCTCTTCTCGCCACTTTGCCTCTTCGAGCAAATTGCTTCTACTTTTCAACCTTCCTCTCGTGCCCGATCGGACAATTTTCTTCCCATTTAGAACTCTCTTCTCGCGCCCGGTCGGGCGCGCTACAACACTAGAGTTTTTTTTTCTTTTCTTTTCTTTTCTCCAAATTTGGCTAACTCTTTTCCTCCAAACCTGTACAAAACCTCATAAAACTTATTAAATTCCTTTCTCTCTCCTCACACTAAAAAACAAAATAAAGAAAGCTAAACTAAAAAGCAAGAAAATACGGGTTGCATCCCGCAAATAGCTGGTTTATCTAGGTCCCACATGACCCTCTTAGCATATGTCTCTCAAGATGAACTGGAACCGATTAGGTTAAGTAATTCAACCGCACCAATCCTAGCCCCTTCATGTTATACTTTTAGTCTTTGGCCATTTACCTTGAACTCGCTACCATGTTCATCGATTAAATCCACAGAACCAAACTTATTTGCCCTTTTAACAGTGAAAGGACCCGACGACCTTGACTTTAACTTTCCTGGGAAAAGTTTAAGTATAGAGTTGAAAAACAAAACCTTGTCACCCTCTTTGAATTATATCGGAAGGATCATCTTGTCATGCCATCTCTTGGTCTTCTCCTTGTAGACACGTGCACTGTCATAGTGAAGGATTTATGTCTTCGTCGTGTGCAATAACTAAATATATAAATGGATCAAATTATGGAGATAATTAAGTTCGTACATTTGGGTCGTCGTTTTATCATAGCTAGAGGTACTAACGATCTTTGGAATAGTAAAATAGCCCCAAAGCCCACTTGGACATATCCTATAAGGTCACACAAAGGGCCTAGATCGAGCACGAGAGGACCAGGCCCATGATGGGCCTCATCCCCTAGTATGGCTGGCCAAGTGGAGTAAGGTCGAGAGTTTTAGGATTCCTAACCCTAGTCTAATTATACTGTGATTATAAATAGACTAGGTTCCTTGGGTTTTGCTATAAATTGAATTATGTTGATCAGTAAGATCAAAACCCGAATTAGCAAATACGAGACCAACCTCTCTCATACTCCTCTCTCTCACCTCCTCGGCGCCGGTTGTGGTGGTTTGTGGTGGTGGTGGTGGTTCGTGGTGGTCGGTTTAGTCCATTAAAGGTGGTGATCGCGGTTGTCCTCAATCACTCGACTAATCTAGTATTGGTGGAAGGCTCGTTCGAAGCTTGTGGACTAATTAGAGGAGCAAAGCTTGGAGCTCTATTCTCTCCTTGATTTGTCAATCATTTGCTACGTGGAATTCACGCTTTAAAGGTATGATTATGTGTCTTGTGTGTTATGCATGTGATCTTGGGATTGGGTGCTTGATTGAATATGATTCGTGATTTTTCGCTGCGTAGCACCTATAAACTCCTACACATAGGCCGTCAACCTAAACCCATCTAGTTGATTAAGTTAAGTGGCCTCTTCTCTCCCGCTAGCTTATCATCTAAATTGAGTTCCTTAATAGCGCAATATGCCTTGTATTCCAATTCCTCCGAGAGGTGACATGCTTTACCATACACAATTCTATAGGAAGTAGTACCAATCGAAGTCATAAATGCAGTTCTGTACGCCCAAAGGGTGTCATCCAATTTATCACTCCAATCTTTCCTTAACTTTGCTACCAGCTTCTCTAGAATGGCCTTGATCTCACGACTGGAAACTTTAACTTGGTCACTCATTTGGGGATGGTAGGATAAATCTATCCTATGGTATACACCATACTTTTTTAGGAAGGTATCTAATGTCCTCTCATGAAAGTGAGATCCTCCATCACTGATTATAGCTCTAAGCACTCCAAATCTTGAAAAGATGGTTTTCTTAAAAAGCCTATGGACAACTTTGGCATCATTGGTAGGAGTGGCAATGGCTTCAACCCACTTTGATACATAATCAACGGCGACAAGTATATAGCGATTCTCTCTTGAAGAAGGGAACGGTCCCATGTAATCAACACCCTAAACATAAAAAATTTCAACTTCCAATATTCCAGTTTGAGGCATCTCATGTTGTCACGAGATATTGCCAGTCCTTTGGCAAGAGTCACAAGCCTACCCAAAAGTATTAGCATCCTTAAATATAGTGGGCTAATAAAAACCCGACTCATTAATCTTGGCCACTATTTTGGTGGGACCATGATGTCCTCCATAAGGTAAGTTGTGGCAATTAGTTAGAATGTCGTGTACTTCCCATTCGGGAACACACATGCGAAATAATCCATCTGCACACTCACGAAAAAAAAGGACCATCCCAAAAATAATGTTTAACATCATAAAGGAACTTCTTTTTTTGTTGGTAGGACAAGTCAGGAGGTAGAGTACCACCCACCAAATAATTAGCATAATCAGCATTCCAAGGGTGTTGCTCTACAACTGCATACAAGTGGTCATCAGGGAAAGAATCATCTATAGGAAAAGAATCCTTACCCTCATCAAACATGATACGTGACAAGTAGTCTGCCACAATGTTCTCTACTCATTTCTTATCCTTAATCTCTACATCAAAGTTTTGGAGCAAGAGAACCCAACAGAGGAGCCTAGGCTTTGATTCTGCCTTGGCTATTAAGTACTCTAATGTTGCATGGTCAGTAAAAACAATAACTTTAGAATCAACTAGATATGATCTAAATTTTTCTAAAGCATAAATAACAGCAAGAAACTCCATCTTTGTAGTGGCATAGTTGACTTGGGCTTCATCCAAAGTTTTACTTGTATAATAATAAATAGCATGCAAAACTTTGTTTTTTCTTTGTCCTATCATGGATCCTAATGCGAAATCACTTTCATCACACATAATCTCAAAAGGAAGACTCCAATCGGGTGCACATATGATGGGTACCGATATCAATACCTGCTTTAGCCTGTGAAAAGCGTCAAGACACTCGTCAGTAAAATCAAATGGGGCATCCTTGAGTAAAAGCTGAGTTAGTGGTTTAGCAATTTTAGAAAAATCTTCGATAAAGCAACGATAAAACCCCGCATGACCTAAGAAACTTCTAACCCCCTTAACATTGACTAGAGGAGGCAATTGCTCAATCACAGAAATCTTAGCCGTATCCACTTGTATACCCTTATCAGATACAATATGACAAAGGAATACTCCCTCTGTCACCATAAAGTGACACTTCTCCCAATTTAAAACCAAGTTGCATTCTTCACATCTTTTTAAAATTTTAGAGAGATTGACATCCATCAAATGAAGACCCATACACACTAAAATTATCCATAAATACTTCCATGATAAACTCTATGAAATAAGAAAAAATATTCATCATGGAATGCTGAAAGGTAGCAGGGGCATTACATAAAGGAAAAGCCATTCAACAATATGCAAAAGTACCATAAGGACATGTAAATGTAGTCTTTTCTTGATCTTCAGGGTGAATTGGAATTTCGAAAAATCCCGAATACCTATCCAAATAACAAAAGAACTTATGGTTAGCTAACCTCTCAAGCATTTGATCAATAAAAAAGAGGGGGAAGTGCTCCGTTTTAGTTGCGACATTTAATTTACGATAATCAATGCACATACGCCACCCTGTACCAGTTCTAGTAGGAATCAATTCATTTTTATCATTTTTAATCATAGTTATCCTATCCTTTTTAGGAACCACCTGAACAACACTTACCCACTTTTAGTAAGAAATAGGATAGATAATACCTGCACCAAGTAATTTTATCACCTCTTTCTTAACTACTTCTTGCATATTAGGATTTAACCTCCTATGAGGTTGAATACATGGCTTGTAATTGTCCTCTAGATGTATCCTGTGCATGCAAAAATTGGGTCTAATACCCTTGAGATCATCAATAATGTACCCTATTTCCCTTTTGTGGGTTCAAAGAACCTCTAGAAGTTGGGAAGTATGTGGGTAATCAAGTGCAGTACTAATGATCATAAGGTATAGTTCCTACTCATCAAGAAAAACATATTTTAAATGAGAGGTTTTAGTTCAGGTTTCTTTACCTCTGCAGCTTTTGATTCCTAAACTAATTTTACTACCTTCATAGTCTCTTTAGGATCAAGCTCTTCTATGGCATCCACCTCGTTGTTCCAAATAGTTGCATCACCTGCAGACAAATCCCCACAAAGAACTTCCTCCAAGGGATCCATTGCAAGAACATGTTGTAAGCTTTCTTCACAAATATCATCCATTATATCAATAACATCAATCAAACAACAATTTTCCTCTAGCATAGGTCCTTTTAAAACTTCCCTAAATTAGAAGTGATATTATCATCTCCAACAAAAAGAGTTAGTTTTCCATTTTTAACATTAATAATGGCTCCAACAGTGTAGGGAAAAGGCCTACCTAATATAATGGGAATTTGTGTATCCTCAGTCATGTTTAAAACAACAAAATCTACAAGGATAGAAAATTTACCAACTATGACAAGAACATCCTCTAGAATACCTAAGGGGTATTTAACAGAACGGTCTGCCATCTGTAAAGTAATGTTAGTAATTTTCTTTAGGGAATATTTCAAGAATCCCACAGTTGAGCCCCACTGTGATCATACACTTAAGCATGGTGGCGTCCAAAGGGAAGGAAGTTAAAGTAAAAGAGTCGCCAACAAGTTTTAGGAACATGTAAACCATTCACAGGGTGAAGGTTACACCCCTTCACAATCCAAGGGATCGCTAACTCCATAGTGGTTTGGAATCATGACTGGATATTCGTGGATGAAGGTACATATCCAACCTAAAAGAGATTGAACCTGCCCTAAAAATAGGCCTCTACTTTATTCTTCTCATATTCATGTGCGTTTTCTGACTAACATATAATCAATAGGTTTAGACACCCAAATGTGTCTCCCCAAACCCAGTGATGAATACCTTTCACGTCATTTGATTATCGAACGAAGTGAATGTGTGAAAAGTCTAGTGATGAGGATGTTTTTATTAAATATCTCTTTTCTGTTTTCAAAAATATTTCTTTTCTTACTCTATTTATGAAAATAGCTAGTCCAATTTGGTTTGATCCATGATAAGGGTCCAATAATAGTGTAGTTAGGTTGGGCTCGAAAAGAGCTTTCCAACGATATATTATAAGCCCAATTCCGATGAATAATGAGGAAGTTATAGATTAAATTAAATTTGGCCCAATGATCTTGAGGATGGCCTATTAATTATTATTCCTAAAGTTATTAGGATTGATTTTAATATTCTAGGAATATTTAGAAGGTTCTTTTTAATTCTAATGAGATTTGGATTGATAATTATATGTCAAAGAGTTTTATTTTGAATAAAATATGTGATTTGTCACAAATATGATTTTAATCTGCTTAACGTGGAATAAGCTTCTTAAGCGTATTAAGAAGATGATTTCGTGTACAAAGCGCGTTATACTTTGACTTAGCGCAAAACGACAAGGCTGTCGCCTGGCGATGCTTCTGTCGTATGGCGCTTACTCCCATCATTGGCGATAGGAGGTATTTTATTCCGAATATGACTTGATTTGATCCCGAGCTATTTTTTTTTATAAATAGGGGTCGTATCTCTCCGTTTTTAATCATTAACAACCATCATTTCTCTCTGTTCTCTCTATAAAAGCTAGAAGATTTCCTCTCCCTCTATTCTTTTTCTAAACCTTCCCTCTCTCAAAATTCCTCATACATTAGTTCTAGACACACCTAGCCAAGTTCAAAGTTGCCTTCGCCCTAGACGTGAAAGGTTGATAATTTCTGAGGGTTTGGCCCCAAATCTCTATTTTAATTATTTAAATTAATTGTTTGATCTATTATTTTCCTTGAAGTTACTAACGTGTGTATTTTGTTATCAGAAAGAGGTACGAGACATCGAAGTAAGTCCTTTAATTGCTTTATTATTATAGAGATCATGCTTAGATTGTTTTATTGATTCCTAGTATCATGTTAGGACGTTTTATTGCTTCCTAGTATCATGTTTAGGGTTAACTAATATTTATGATATTATTGTGATGCTTCCTATTTCTTTCCTAATATCATGTTAGTGCCATGTTAGGGCTAATTCATCTTTATTGTTTAGTGACATGCTAGGATTTGTTATTAATCTTGTTAGTAGCATGTCTAGGATCTTGCTATTATTATTATGCTTTATTTTTAACATGGTTATTATTATAATTATTATTATCGTGTTTCTTGATATATTATTTATTATTATGTCTTATTCACACCTTTTATGAATGTTTAAAGAAAATTTGTACTTGTAATCACGCTTAATAAGATAATTAATAATCTTGTTAAGGATAATATGACTATAATTCAAGTGATCGCCAATAATAGTTTTTAATGTGCATTAATATTCAACCAACATAGATTAAACAGGTTTAGGGTTAATCTATTGATTGTATGTTAGTCAGAAAGCGCACATGAATATGACAAAAATAAAGTAGAGGCCTATTTTTAGGGCAAGTTCAATCTCTTTTAGGTTGGATTTGTACCGTCATCTCCGAACTTCCAGTCATGGTTCTAGACCTATTAGAGGTAACGATCTCATGGATCGTTAAGGGGTGTAACCTTCATCTTGTAAACGGTTTACAAGTTCCTAAAATTTGTTGGCGACTCTTTTGCTCTAGCTTTTTCCCTTTGTACCCCACCATGCTTAAGAGTATGATCACAGTGGGCTCAAATTTGGGATGCTTCAAATATTCCCTAAAGTTTTTTGGCGACTCCACTGGGATGATTTCTATCTTAATTCCTAAAATTTTATTTTGGCAATAATTTAGAATGAGTGGATGAGACTCGAAAAGTTCTAAGTATTTCATGTGCGTAATTTTGAGGCATAAGCATAACAAGGTTCGCATTGGAAAGATCATCCGTAATGCGTCAAAAACATAGGGTTTATACACGTAGGAAATTAGGGAAATATCTTTCACAACTACAGTCGAAATAACGCTACGAAAAAACTGGAAAATTCGAGAACAAAAAGCTTCCTAGGCAAGTAGGATTTAGCGCTGAGAATACAGCGTCAGCACCAAACGATGGCACTGTCTCTTGGCGAAAGTACTTGTCATCTGGCGACAGTGGCATCGTCTGGGGACAGACGCTGTTTTCTCGCGCCGAATTCTTCTAATACCGAGCCTGAAATCTACCTTATTGTTTTTACCAGTTTTCTAGTACTGTTTGGTCGATTTTTACAATCTGATTGAGTTTTTCCCTTTTTTCTTAAACCCATATGTGTTCTACATATGGCCATAACCCTCTGGAAATTCACGCTTCATCTACCCAATCGAACGCTCTTGGTAATGAAGGGTACATTCGAGTTTGTTGAATTCACAAAACCATGGAAGAGACTTTAACTTGCGGGGTCCCAACCACTTGAGCCAAGCCTTCCAAAGGTAAGGCTTCCGCGTGGTGCATCTGAACTCATAATAATAGACCCTTTGAATAACCCATATCCTGAACTTTAGAGAACTAGAGCCATGGTTAGGTTGCAAACTCATTGCATCATATTGTGACTATTTGACTACTTGTGCATTATTTGTTGTGCATATCTTATATGTGTTTCCCCTAACCGTTTGTTTGACTTTTGAATGATTTAAATAAATTAATTAATGACTAAAGGACTTTGCTAATTTAATTAATAATTATTTAATGATTAAAGTCTAAATAAATTGATCGAACTTGACTTAGTACGACTTTTAGGCTTGTCCTTTTAGAGTAAAATACTGGAAACAATCCTAGATCGATGTTCCACCAATGGCGCAGAAGTCTGAACTGTAGAGCCACACGCTAATGATTAACGCTAGGATATAATGTTTTCGTCTGGCGCTGATCCTTAGCGTCTGGCGACAGTCCTGTCATCTGATGATAATCCTTGCTTTTGCTCGAGTTTTCACGACGAGTCTAACTAATCAATTTGATAAAACAGTTTAATCAGTTTATTAATGACAGTAATCATGTTCAGTCCTTAATTGAGTCTAGGCACATAGTTTCTTGGTCTCACACAAGAGTCAAAGTATGTTACTCACATTCATTATCAAAGCACATACATAATATGTCACATCTTGACCATGTCTAGAGAGTCTTGTATGCGCGTATTTTCTATAATTTTTTTAGGGGGGGTAAGTCAGATATTAATCCTCCAATTAAACCATACTTGTTTGAACCCTTACTTGATCCTAAAAAACACACCCTATTTTTGCTTTTTTTTTGTTTTTAAAACAAATAAAGTCAAAGTCAATTTGAGTCAAGTCATCAAAATAAATAAATGGTTTAATTTACAGCGCTTGGTCAAGAAAGGAAGGGAGATTACTCAAAGACAATACATTTGTTCAAGAACTCCTTTTCGACAAACCAATCAGTCGGAAAAGAAAAGCTAAGAAGATAATGGCGTTTCAAGAAGAAGTCAATGAACTCAGGAAGGACATGGCCAACCTAACTGAATTGATGAAGAGTATGGCTCTTCAAATCAATGACCCTGTGAAGCAACAACAAATGAAGTTCTTGCAAGAAAGCTTGAGAAAAATATCCAATGATTATAGATTCCAGGACATTAGCTCACAAGGAGTCTCAGTGGACAAGGAACTTCTTCCGCATAAGTTCAATGCCAATAACATCCCAAGGTTCAAGGCAACCGATAATCCTTACTTCAACTTAAAAGCTTTTGAGACAATAATGAACATTAAGGGGATAGATAGGAAAGTCCTTCATTCATTGTTTTCTCTATCTCTTGAAACCGTCTGTCAACAATGGTTCTTTTCCCTTGACAAAGAGAAAATTTCTACTTGGGATGCCATTGTAAACGCTTTCATTGATAGGTATAAATGTAATATTTAAGTTCAAAATTGATTATAGGGACTTGAGATACTTAAGCAAAAAGAGAATGAAGGTTTTACTTCTTTCTCTAATAAATGGAAGGAAACCTCTGCTAAGATGATTGAATTACCTACTGAAAAGGAATTTGTGAGATTATTCATAAAGAATTTCCAGGAAAAATATTACAAACATCTCAAGTATCAAAGCAACTTGAATACTTTTAAGGCCATTTATGAAATTGGAATTAATATAGAAGACGACCTTGCAAAGCAAAAAGCTGCTAACACTAACTCCAACAGTGGCTGGAAAGGCCACTAAAAGGAAAGAAGAACGACAATCCTTCTTCTTCTAAAACCACCCACTTAAATAATGTTAGCACCTTTAATCTGAATGAAGTCCTCGCTATGAATAACCAAG